AAAAAATCAGTGAAACAATATTAAGTTATTTAAATATTATATTGATACTAAAAAATTACTAAAAAATAATAAATAATTTCTGAATCAATATTCTTGCTAGATATGTTCTAAATTAAAAATTATTTTATAAATATTTAAAATTATAAATATTTCTATTGATATATTTAAAAATCTTCACTTATATTTTTCAATTAAATCTATAAATTAAAATACATTATTTTTTATAATATTATTAATAATTTGTAAAAATAANTTTATATTGATTATTTAATTGAATATTTAATAGTTTTATTCAATGAATTAATAAAATATGAAATGAATTAATAAAATATTGATATTTTATTCTATTTAAAAAAGGCAAAATTAAAAAAAAACTAGAAATTCTGCAAAATTAATTGCATTTAAACTGATTAATCATTTATTTTATTTAATTTAGAAAAAAAGAAGTAAGTTAATATTTATAATTTAAAAAAAATAATTTATATTGCTTTGTATATATATAATATAGATATATTTAATAATTGAGAAAAATTATAATTCTATTCCAAATGAAATTGAAAAAAAAAAATGGTACAGGAAAATTATCCATTGTTGTTATATTCTATTATGTGAGTATATAATTGCAATATGCGTTTGTATTTTTTAAAAATATTTTATTTAATTTTAATATTAATATTTATAAAAAATGCATAAATAAAATGTATAATTACAATATAAATATTCTTTTATATATTTTTTGTTACTTTTTATTAAATTGTTTAATTTATATTTTCATTTAAAAATTACACATTTTACAATGAATATTTACTTATTTAATTTTGTTTTTCTTAAAGAATATATCTTATATATATTCTTTTAAATTCTAAAAAACTCTAAAAAAATTCAATCAAGTAAATGTGATAACTAAAGTATCAATAAAGATACTAAATTGTATAGAAATGTTTTAAAGAATAAAGCACACTTATAATTTATTTCATTAGATAACATAAAAAAAATTATAGATAATTATTTAAATATGCTGCATATATGATGTAATAAATAGTATCAAAAAATTTATGAAAATATTTAAAATGTAATGAAGTATTTATACATTTGTGCATTTATTAAAGTGATGTTTATAATTAATCTAATTATCTTGAAAAGTATTTTTGAAATTGAAAATTTTCAATGAATTTTCAATGATTTTTCTATCATTTTATATATAAAATGATGCAAAGAATAAGTTTATGCCAAAAAAAAATAAATTTACATTTTTATATTGGTATGTTTAAAAAAATTTATATAGTAATATATAATTTAAGAATAATAGAGTATGTTAAACAGAATGAAATTTTCTTATTTTTTCTTGTCTTTTTTCTTCTCTTGCAGTTTAGATAAAGTTCATCATACTAAATACATCCTGTATAAGATATTCCATATAAAAAGTAAAAAACTAAAAATTCTTTAACCATTAACCAATAAATTCATTTTCTTTAGAGAATTATGAAATGTAATAAATGTAATAAAATTTATTTGAAATATATATTTTTTTTATTTTATAAAGTTAAAAAGTTATAGCAAATAATATTCTTCTCGACAATAATTTCAGATTTATATTTTTTTATAAAATATTTATAAAAAAATTCTATAATTTTGTAATATTTCATTTTATTTAAAATATATTAAAAATATAAAATATATATTTTTTAATATATCAATTCATTTTATTTTATTATATTTCCAAATATTCTTAATATAAAGTATAATATATATAGTATTTATAATCATAAGTTACTCGATTAAATATTTAATATATTAATATTTAATTAAATATATTATTTTATTTCAGCTCCCCCACCTGGACCCACAACAAGTTCTTCTGTTGGAGCAGCTGGAGCAACTGGAAGCAGTGTTGTAGCTTCTAGTTCTTTAGGCCTTGTTTCCACACAACAAACACACACTCCTCCTCAACCTCCTGAACTGCCAAGTAAGATTTTAAAAATTATTTTATGTTTAACAACAGAAAAAAACTTTGTTGATTTTAATCAGTATATTAAAGTGGATATCAAAAGTATGTCAAAAAGTATTTATTTTAAACTTATTTATAATATTTTTACTTTTAATTAATTAATAGGATATGAAACTTATGTTCTGTTGTTATATTTTTTATGAATTATAAAATTAAAATAAATAAAAAACAGATGTTATTATCACATATTACATGTATATTTTTATGTATAATTTTATATTACTAAAAATCAATATTTCTATATAATATAATAGTAAAATTATTATTATTATGATATAAATTATATAAATTTATTTAAATAGAATATAAAATTTAATGTAATATTTGAATTTCTTTCTATTGAAATTTTATCATAATTATTATTTAATAGAAT